GCTTATTCTGTGCTTTTATTCATTCACTTATACTCAGGATTGCCCTCAAATCCATTTCCTCATTCTCCATCTCCTCTGCTTATCTAAATGTTATTTTTCAGGGTTCACCTCAAGTTTCATTTGCTCCTGCAATTAGGGCATAGATCATGGTCTTGAGATACTTTGCCGTTCTTAATACTGTGTGCCCGTCTCTCAAATTATTTCACGTTCCTTTTCCTTTATATGTAAGAGGATGGTCTAGTGCAGTGTGTAACTCCATTTGAATCCATGTAAGTGCCATGCTTCATTTGAAATGACACATCAAGCTGTTTCTATCATATTTCCCATTGTCTTCTCTGAAAACCAGATTAGCACAGGCATGTCTGGGGGTTATGAGAACATTCTCCTGGCCTTTTTTCTGGCTTTCAAAATTAGTTTATAGGGCTTTTTATTTTGTGGGGATTATGCCTCTCTGACTCTCATGTAAGTAGTAAGTCTTCCTTTCACCTGTTGTGGGCCTGTGAAAAAAAAGAATCAGAAAGTGAAATTGGAGGATTAGAGGTTAGAAGAAACTGGTTAGCTTTTTTGTTCCTTTAACTCCCAGTTACAAGGAAAGAATGTGTTCAATTACATTTCTCTTCAACTTAATACCGGCAGCACCTAGTACCAGTGCCTGGCATGTGAAAAATGCCTTCAATAAATAGATTGATCACACTGGGGAGGATAGCTATAAAAAAAATAGTAACCTCATACTGAAATGGAAGTTATATCAGTAGCCTCCCTGCCAAGTGGTCACTATTCATATCCTCGATTCTGTTTGGTATCCTGAAATCGGTAAAATGGGGTTGTCAAAGAATCTTAGGAGAAATACATGTATGTTCTTGTTTGGCAAGCTGAAGTTTTTAGAAAGAATAGATTCTATTAATAAAGAATGATGTAGAAATATTTACATGGTAAATCTTTAAATAGAAGATGACATTTTAAATCTCAGTCCAGAGTTACTGTTTCAGAGTTGCGTGTGGGGGTGTGAATGATAAGTGGAGACCCCATTGAGGAAATTTCTACTTGTTATTTCTAATCATTTTACTATGTCGTGAGAAAGCTCAAAAAAATCTTCCCTGAATTAGAATCCTAAGTGACCTTCTTGTGGAAATAGAGCTCTGGGCCCATGACACGTGGTGGTATTTTGCGTGTTAGTGACCTTGATTTCTGTTTTTGTTTCCCCCTTGCACTTACCTCGTTTACCTGAAATAGTACTGATTAAAATGATAAAAAGGAAAAATAAAATAAAAGCGATAAAGGTAAAAAATGTATAATTTTTAAAAATAATCTGGGTTATATAGTTCCGATGATGAAAAATTATTCTGGTCTGAGTGAAGCACGCTGTTCAGCTTCTACACTTTGTTTATTTACTAATACCTAATTACTTGAATTTCAATATTCAAGAGCTAAGAGATGATATACCAATGAGTTCTCTTGGCTTCTACTTTCCAGTTTATGTTATAAATTATCAGTCACTTTTTAAAAACTGTTTTGTTATGATTAAAAAACCATGTAGCTCAATAATTGCATGTGTGGTTATCATTCTTGCAGTGACCCGCAGGGGATAAGACTGCTTATTTTCCTGTCTCCAAACCAGCTTTTCAGCCTTACTTCCCTCTCTTGGATATGGCATACTTGATCTTCCAGTCATGAAGGGTAGAAATCTCAGAAGTTTAATTTTAGACTCTCCTCTCTCCCTCTGAACCACTGACTCATGGTGATTTCCTTTTGGCCTGTGTTCTACTTCTGGACCTGTGTCTAGCCTCACTATCCCTTCCTTTTTCAGGTTCTCACCTAATAACCTTCTCCCTTATCACCAAGCCTTTAGTCTTTCCCACTTCAGTTCATTTCCTACACTGTCATAAGACAAAGAGCAGTTCTGCTATTTTCATGTTCAAAATTGTTTAATAGTTCCCCATTACCTTCAAAAAATGTGATCAAAATTTGAAGAATGTTCATTGAAAAATGTTGCCTTGTTGATAGTGGCAAAACATTAGAATCAACATAAATGTTCAATAACGGGAGGATCGTTAAACAAAACATAATTTAAACCTTATGATGAAATATTATGTGACCATTAGAGGTGCTGGTTTCGAAGAATTTTTAACGTGTGACAAAAATGTAGCAGAGCGTGATATTGATTATACCATCATAAATACGAAATACAAAAAATATTTATGTTTATATAGATGTTCCCAGTAGTTGTCCCTGGATCGTCCAGTTACAGGAGAGTTTTCTTTCTGGCTACCTTTTTCAAATTTTCTACAATGAGTATACATTGCTTTTATAATCAGAAAAACTTGCTCTGACAATCAGGATCTGGAAGGGAACTTATGAATTATTTAGTTTTGTTGTTCTTAGTGTATTTTGGACCTCATTGAGGATCTGATGAATGATAAGGAGATTTTCTCAAAAAAAAAAAAAAATGAACCTCTGACCATAGACAAAAAAATTGGTCCTATAATTTTGGCAGGATTTGAGACCTCAGATTAAGAAACATTTTACAGTACAGTTCTCTCATTTTGGAGAAAATGCAGGACAAAGATTTGCTTCCTGTCCCATAAGGAAGTTGGAGGAAGAGATGGGACTAGATCTTGGGTTTCTAATGTTTGCCCTGAAACAGGGCTGTCTGGAAGACTTGGGATCGCACTGCAAGCGTCCTTCCAGTCAGGGGCTTCTTCCAGGGGCTCTGTGAGGCCCCAGAACACAGCTGAGAAGGTTCCCCTTTATGCCTGTGGAGAGACCTCAGGGTGGTTGTGGCTGCTGCTGATCGTGGGAGTGGCTTCCCCACTCCTCCTCCCTGTGAGAGAGGGTTTTATTAGACCAAGGGGATTAGCTTCTGAGTCATTGATGACTCCCAGAAGTAAGCAAATCTAATGCGTGTCTGAGAACATAGTGTTAGGTACCTGTTACTTTCTTATCTGTCCCCCTGGCCATACTTTATGATTTTATTGTGTGCATGGTGATAGACTTTTGCTTTGAGAATGTTTGTTTCCTTCTGTTATCTGGCAGTTTCCTTTATATGACCTTGATCATCATGATGATGGCAGGGCAGGACACTGCCTCTCTGCCCTTGGATCATTCATTCTGGTGGATGCCATAGTAGCTCCCTGCCTGGTGCCTGAATGGCCTGCAAAGTGCAGGGCTAGAAAAACCTCTCTTCCCATGGCTTTGCGTGATTCTGTCTTTGCAAAACCTTAAGCTAGGCAGTAAGTGAGGAAAAAAACACCACTGACGAGAGCAACACATCCACTAGCGCCTGCCTTTTAACTGGGAAGGAAGGAGAGATACCCTTACTTTGTCAGAAAGCCCTGAAGGGCCCTGATAAATCTTGCCACAGACAGCAGATTTTGCAGATAAAGGAGTGTTTTCTTTGGTGCAATAAAGTTGCAAACATAGATCTAGAAACAGCTGTCTGATAATTTTTTCCAAGTTGTTAAGCCTTCCACAATCTAATCTCTGCAGAGCGCTTTGAATCGAAAGAGAGGATGGAATCCCTGCCTTGAACAAAGAAGGGTGTAAAAGGTAAGGACAAGAATGTTTCAGAGTACTCGCAAGTGCCTGTAGTAGGCAAGTTACTTTCAGAGTTAACACTCCTGAGGAGAGGGAATGCTCTAGTGTAGCTGGTGTTATCCTTATTTTTATAGGTGGGGAAACTGAGGCTCAAAGGGTAAATGGCCGCAGGACACACAGTTAATAAGAAACTAAGCCGACTGTGTCTGCTTCCAGCTCATGTAGAATAAATAGCTCCTATGGTGGCATATTGTTTTGGAGTGTTCTAGTGATCTTTTATGTGTAGGTATATTTGAAAAGTTTTTATTTGTGTACTGCAATCTCTTTAATACAAGTTTGAAAATAAAGGTATGCACATACGTATCGGCGCACACAAAATAGTTCTGTCCTGACGACAACGGCTTCGAGAACCTGGTAGGTGCAGTAACGGGCCCTGAGAAAGGTCTCCTTTCTCCTCTTTGTTAATATACTCTTAAATATTTTTTTCCCCAGTCCTTCCCCCCCCAAAAAATTTCTGCTGTAATTATAATCAAAATGTATATACAGTTTCAACTCCTTAACTGGTTAATTCTTTTTTGCCAAGCGCTTCTTCACCCGGTTCAGTGCTGTTCTTCTGCTGTGAGAACTTTCTGGTGCTAGGAGACGCTGGGAGGGTAAAGCAGTCCCTGGGTGGTCTAGGTGGAAGTCATGGGGTTCATGATTAACAACCCTATGCTTTTCCTCAGTCATCCTGGTCTGTTCTAAAGAAAGATGGTTGGGACATTATCATTTGGTCTGCAGCGTGGGAGGACAGAGTGATGATTTTTGGCTGGGCATGGAATGGTAGAGCAAATGTGTCCACTGACTTTCTATTTCTGTTTCACCGAGAGCCATAGGAAGTCAGGCAGATGGGTGTGACTTTCAGAGGCCTTCCTTCTACCCTCTTAGAAGTGAATGTTTTACATTTATTGAGTTAGGTTGTTTATCTACATGGGGCTGGGCGGACTGAGACGCTTAGTCTGTACACCTGGGTGTGGACACCGTCACCGTTCAGGACTCCGAAGTCTGGAGGCAGCCGGGTCCCTTCCCACCGCAGTCCCATTTCCACGCGGGAACCTGCAGCAGCCGGCGGGGCTGCCCGGGCTGGAGGGCGCCGAGGAACAAAGGGGGGCAAGTGAGAAGCACACCAGCTCTTTGGAAGTGACCTTTCCCTTCTCCAAAACTTGTAGATTGCTAGACTCTTGAACTTCAGGATTGCCTTCCTTATAAAATCTGCTGAAAAAAATACTCTGCTTCTACTTTCTGTGTCTCTTGAATCTGCTTTCCTGGGGTTTTCCGTTAGCCTCCTGTGGGGGAGCAAACCACACCGTTTGCAAGAGATGCGACGTCTCTAAGTAGCTTTTTTCTCTTTCCCCCTTACACTGACTGATGTTAACATCGTGTGTGAGGCAGGAGCGTGTGCTCTCGTGTGAGCGTCGACAGGCCGCTCAACCCTTGAAACATCTGCCTGTTCTTCCTGTTGCATTCAGCTTCCCACTTCCTGCCTTCTGCCGCTTCTCAGCGAGCCCGAGAGGCAAAGCACCCTCCCCCCGGGTCTGTGTGCAACTGCCTCTGCCAAGCTGTTGGCTCTCCCGGGAGGGACGGACGTTCTCGGAACTTCTGTGACTTCGGTTACGTTCACTAACTTTCCTAACTTGCGTTGAATACAACCGTCGGAGAACCTGCTTCCGAAAGCCCCTTGCCCTCCCGGGCCATCGCAGCGTTCCGCTTGGGAAGGAGGCGTGGCATTCCTGAACAAAAGTAGCATGCTGTGAGGAGCACGGTTGGACCGGAGACACAGATTGCTGGCCCCCAGCACCAACTGTGTGCCCGAGCCATCGTGCCGCCGGAGGGAAGGAGGAGTGGAAGGAAACAGGGAGGTTTTCTGAGGGAGCATTAGTCGTCCCTGGGCCGGACCTTGAACTGTCTGTGTGCACCTGATGGTAAGGTTCATTATTATGGGCTGCCTTGACCTGTGGTAAAGCTGGACCTAACCACCGGTTCCCTTCTGGATTGTGCTCCTGTGGATAAGGCACTCTAGCCAAACAGTTCTCACCACACAAACCAAGCACGGTGTCAGCTTCACCCTGAGTGCTGGGCATCAGTTCCCTGCCAGCCTGTGGAAATATTCAAACATGCCCGTCATATCCTCCTGTGGCAAGTAGGGGTCATGTCATCCCATTGTTACTACAAAACCTGCCTCCCATAGCCTCTGCTTGTTCACGCCATGCCTGAATGAGCCCCCATGTGGCCCTGTGTGGCAGGCAGTGGCCACCCCGGAGCTGTGAGTCCCTGTGCCTTGTGAACTCTGGTGGATCTCAGCTGTCCAGCATTGGGTGTCATGTGTTCAGTTTGATCCCCACATCCCCTAGGGTGGAACACCAACCAGCCTCACCGGTGGAGGGAAGAGGAGGTGATCACAATACAGTGCACCCATTATTCCCATTCTTTGAATGGATCAAGGGTATTTCAGCTTTCCAGCTATTTGCCCTCTTTCCTGTAAACTGCACAGAGCGGGAAACACTCCTATACTTTTCATCATAATATCCTTGGTGTCTAGTATGGTGATGCCCGGCACTGAACATGTACTTGATAAAAATAATTGTTGAATAAATGAATGAGTGCCACTTAAAGGCCCCTTTCTGAGCAAGGGTCACAGTGCTAGCTATTGAGTTTAAACAGTTTGTAGTGAGGGGTGTGAGCAGAGTGCTCAGGTCCCCACTAACTTTTCCAAGTCCCTCCAACCTCACAGGTATCCCAGTAAAAGGAAGAATGGATCCTGAAGACATAACCCACATCCCCAGTTTAAGCTCAGGGTCAGATAGATGTGCTTTTGTTGTTACGGACTTTGCCTAACGTTGCTGAATTTTGCAACCAGCTTTACCTTCCACCTTCTGAGACATCCCGTTCCATTTGCCTAATGAACCCAAAAGGAATTTAGTGCCTGTCTCTCTTGATTTCATTTTGTCTGGGTTATCTTCTCCAATTTTAATTTGTTCCTGGAGAAAGCTGGTGCCCATAAATGTGAGAGGATGGGGTTGGGGTGGAGAGAATTTATTCCAGCGTTTTTGTGATTTCTTTAGCTAAGGTACCATCCTTTTCTTTTGTATTGAGGTCAAATTAGTCAGCAGACAGAATTGCCCCAGGGAGATGAAAACAGAATCATCTCTGGAAGAATCTGGCCTATACAATACTTAGAGAAATCCGTCTTTGATTTCCCTTTGGTTGTTTTCATGAAGATCTGACCTTGAGGGGAATCTGAACATCTTTTAGATCTTTAGACCTATCTTTTAAGGCTTGACATTTTGTGCATTTCCACTTCTAGAACTTTGCTTCCATTTTTTACCCATCCCTCCCAATGTAAGTTTCACCTTAAAAAAATTAAACTATCTGATCTCCTCTGGGGAGTCTTTCCTGCATTTACCTCTTGGTTTCCTTTTCAGAACTCCCCAAGGTTTTTTTAGTTTATTATCTTTCACATGTAGTAGCACACAGTTTGTTAATTTTGTTCATCTTTGCTTTTCAAAGCCGAGGACTTGGAGGCATTTTCTTTTCCTTTCAGAGCGCTTTATACAGTGCTCTGCTCGTAATAAATAGGCTTTGTCAAAATTTGCTGCCTGGCAGTTTGATAGTAGGAAGCAAGTAGGGATGCCTCTATGAGGATGGGTATCATTCATCAGGAGACAAGACAACGGAACTGGTGTGAGTTTGTATGAAGCTACACTAAATGGATTCACAAGTCATCCTGAGCTCTGTTTACTGAAGCAGTGGAAACACCATGAAGAATTTTATTCCAAGAACAGTTTGGCCACGCCACTTCCCAGGTGGTGCTAAACTCTGCTTTAACTGTTTTGTAGGGCTCACGTAAGCTGTATCTCCCTGGGCTCCTGCAGACAGTGACTCTGGTGGTTGTACTAATTCTTGTCATTTGTTCTTTGCCTGGATTTATATAATCTCCTCTTGCGGCGTGACTTCTCTCACTTATGAAAACAGTCAGGCTCAACGGTTGAGGAGCAGTGGATTAGAACTTACATGGAACATGTGGTCACTGTTGCCTCAGGTGATAAGGAGCAAAGGGAAAGAGGAGCAGAAAGAATGAGCCAAATCATTATTTTAGTGTCTTGATTTTCAATAAGGCAATAGAAGTTAAAGGTATTTCCCTGCCCCTTACCCTAAGACATCTGCATTAGAGACTTAGCAGGAGTCTCTCTGTGGGGTGACTGGTCCTAAACTTTATTAACAGAGGCTTTGTGGCTTTATCGAAGTAGGTGGATCATAGGTGGGTGTTAGCCCAGAGGTTTGTGTGAGCAAACCCACCTCAGCAACCAGCGCTAATTGGCTCCCCTGGGAAGTCCCAAGAGAAGCTGTCAATCATAACGACTGAGTTTTTGTTTATAATTTGTAGTGGTTTCCCTCTACTGCTCTTTCTCCACCCCCATCCAGACTGTCTCTCCTCCTTGCACAAACAACAGGTAACAGAATACAGAAAATTAGAGAGTCGAGGCACATCTGACATTGATTCCAACTGCCTTTTCTTCCCCTCCACTTCCCATTCTCCCTAGGGTTATCTTTCAGGATGAGAGGTGAGATTTTTCTCTATGCCACCCTTCTCCCCCATTATCACTGTTATTATGACACAATATCCTTTCATGTGGGCGAGATGCTCTCTCAGGTGTATCTGACAAAGCTAGGAAGTAGTGTTAAAAAATAAGTGTACAATGTTAGTGCATTTTAGAAGGTGAGCCCTGGTTAATTGCATTCTACTCTGCTGAAAGCTGGAGATGATCCTAGGCTCATTGATATTTTTGTTAAATCATTATATTTTAAGATTAAATCACAGGACAAAGAAACCCTTGTCTTTCTGCAGGATACTGGATTGGAAAAAAAGAATGGCTTCCTGGGGTCCAGGGCCTCTTCCGTTGAGAAGCTAATGGTAATAGTAGCTACCATTTAATAAAGACTTCACATGAGAGGAACTACCTTGATCCTGACTGTACAGGATGCAATTGAAGGTCATGGGTCAAGGTCCCACAGCAAGTAAGTGTCAGGATTTGGGATCCTGCAGGGAGAATCAGGATTTGACCTTGGGTGTCCCTGTACTCCTTACATGCTACACTGTGCTGCCCCTTTCCTGTATTTTTGTCCAAAGTCTTTTAGCCCCACTTACAAATAATTTAAATTCGTGATTAGACCAGGTGTTCCTTCCAATGTTTGAAAGACAGGACAACTCAGATGTAGTTAGCTAACCCATTCTACAGTTGTGCTATTTTGTGTTCTTTGTTTCAGGCCCACAGTGCAGCTGGTGTTGTTGCTATGCCCAGGTGATGGTAAGCTCTGTGGGTAATGATGGGACATCTCAGGCGCCTTAGCACGCCTAGGTCCCCCCTTTCTTTCTTGCACCAAGATGGAAGATTAGTGAGGAGTCTAGAGAGCCAGGTGGAGTGTCTATGCCAGGATTACACAGACTGAACTAAAGTTCTTTCCCCCACCCAGTGATAGGACATGATTAGCACCAAGAAGACACAGGGAGAACTTCATCTTTTTCTGGTGAACATGTGATGTAGGGGGAAATTCAAAAGAATAACAAATTGGGACACCTGGGTGCCTCAGTCAGTTAAGCGTCTGCCTTCGGCTCAGGTCATGATCCCGGGGTCCTGGGATCAAGTCCTGCATCGGGCTCCCTGCTCAGCGGGGAGCCTGCTTCTCCCTCTGCCTGCTGCTCCCCCTGCTTGTGTTCTCTCTCTCTGGCAAATCAATAAATAAGAATAAAATCTTTAAAAAAAAAGAATATCAAGTTGCAGAAATATTTTTATCTGTTTCATGAACACATGGGGCTCAAGAAGTTGTCCATTTCTTCTTACTATGTACTTAATTTAAGTTTTTCTTTTTGGCTTGTGCTTACAAGAGGATTTAAGCTTGATCGATGCAAATTGATTTTTAAAAGATTGTTAAAATCTTTAAACCTGGGGCATTATCTTTAGATTGTAAGTACTAAACTCACTCTACCCCCTTGTTTCATGATGAGCAAAATTAACCTAGAAACCTTCGGAGCTAACTAATTTGGATAAGCCAAAATTGGACATACACTTATTTTAATGAGAGGGATTTTAGTGTTGCGGTTATCTTTATATTGTTTTAAAATAAAGTTAAATTGAATAGAAAGGTAGTCAATTTAGTTACACATTGAAACACCTCTAAAGTCTTCTCAATCATTTCCTTTTAGCAGTCAATTTTAAAGACAGACTTAGGGGAGGGTACTTGGGAGAAAAGGGATTAGGTCAAACCTTCATGCATTCTGATTTGCAGTAGAAAAATTGGTTCTGAAAATCTAAGTTTGGAACATTAACTAAAGCACCTCCTCTCTCGTGTAGCTTGATCAGTAATTACCATCCCAACATATGGAATTCATATCATATTTTAGCCATGATTTTTACCTTCTTCTGTTGTATTCTCTGTTCAGACAATAAATCTCTCTTGGAAAGAATTCAGTCTAATAACTTGTTTCCAGCCTTATTCCATTTTCAAGTCTTCCCATAGGATAGGCAGAGATGCCAGTAAACAAGAAAATGATCAAAAGGTGAGGCAAAGAAGTAGAATGTGCGGCAGAGTCTCTTGATAGCAGACAGAAAGGATGGCCAGCCTCTGACTCACAGCCTGTCTTAAAAGGTTGGCAATGACTTTGAAATTTTATCAAGTCCATCTCTTTTCCTTTAGGCAGGACTGTGCTTATAGCTTTCCCAGTGGATGATAATCTGTCCTTTTTTTGTAATGAAAGTTCCAGTGTAGAGGACACCCGCCCCCTAAGGAACTCATTGTGAAGTTAGATGGTTTTCAGAGAAGGAGTCTGTTATTGTTAATTTTTGTTGTTCATCCCCTCCTCTGGGATGATCAACTTTGTATGAAGAGGGGTGCATCCATATGAAGTCCTTATCTCTGGCACCTGGACAGACTGACAGAGAAGTTGACCACCCGAGAGAGCAACTAGTCTAATCCCTTCATTGTGACTAGTGTCTCCTCCACATTGAGAATGTAGCCTTTTCTGTTTTAAAGATTTTATTTTTTATTTATTTATGTGAGAGAGAGCATGAGAGAGTCAGCAAGGGCACGGGGAGGGGCAAAGGGAGAGGGAGAAGCAGATTCCCTGCTGAGCAGACCCAGGGCTGTTCCCAGGACCCCAGGATCATGACCCAAGCCGAAGGCAGACGCTTAGCGGACTGAGCCACCAAGGTGCCTAGGCTTTTCTATTTTAAAAAGAAATAGTTGTATTGTTGACTTCTGTGGACTTTAGACCTTCCCATTTTTTTTTGCTAACACTGTATTGGTAGTATTTCCCTACTCTGTGCTGAAATTATGCTGGTTTTGCCAGTCATTACCCAAAATATGTCAGTACTGTTGGTGTCTGTGATTCTAGGCCATAGGATTAGCATGGGAATGATTTAAAGTTCTAGGTTTCAACCCTGTTTCTGCCACAGCTACCACTATGACTTTGGTGAGTAACTTACTAAGTGTCTTTGAGCCTCAGTTTATCACTGCTAAATGTGTGGCTGGTTTAGAGCAAAATTTTCCAGGGAGTTTTCCAAGAAATGTTAACACACATAACGTAAGGAATGGTTCAGTTTTTTAATAGGTGGTGGTGATGGTCACTGTGGTCGTGCTGGGGTGAGCACAAGATTACATGTATGCAAATGGTTTTGGGGCTTTTTTGTTTGTTTTATTGAAACAGACTTGATGCTTAAAAAAAGTACATTGTTAATCATCAGATCTTCAGAAGAGGTTTCCTAAATTTATCTGATTATACCTTTCTTTCCTTCTAATTCCATGTCACCCACTTTTGACCAGGCTCATCTGCAGAGTAAAAGTAGCCACTCTTTCCTTCGTGCTTATCCTAGAAAGGGGATAGAGTTTCCAAGAAAGAGTTCAGAGCTCTATAGGTAAACTATAGGTGATCGTCTATGTATTTTGTGGTCTCCCCTTTGGTTTATGAGCTGTTGGGGGCAGGGGTCTTTTCTTACTTATCTTATGCAAAGAGGGTCTGGCTTAGTGCTTGATACCTCAAACATACTTCATAAATGCGTTGAATTGAGTTAAACTGTCCACAAATGGAAGACACTTCCTTGAAAAGTTTTGAGCTGCTTGTCACAGAAAATGTTATTATAGACTGGAGTTTTGAAATGGATGGAATTTGTAGTCAAGATGATATCTAAGATCAGGAATTTATGAGAGTTTCCTATGGTTATAAATACAATATCATAATAACATTACTCATAGATAACGTCTAGTAGATTAGAAAAGGACATAGTGCAGCTTTGCAGGCAGTTCTTACTAGTAAGCTCCTTTCCTTGGTTTGGATAAATTTCCTGATCACCTTGAGTCCACATTCCTCCTGGGAGCATGGAATTATTAATGGGGAATTTTGTCCAGATTAGCAATACATAAGGAGGGACAAGACCCCATGAAATTTACTTCATCTTTCATCTTGTGCAATGCTACTGTGTCCTGAGGAATTCACTTCACTGAATTTATGATGAATTTATTTTTCTATTTTGCTTTTCTATTACCTGGCTATATTTCTTACAAGCTCTTGGAGAGTATAAAATATGTCTCATATGCATTTATCTCTCTTTTGATACATAGTGTTTTGTGATCATAGGAAGAACTCAGTAAATATTTGTTGAAAAAAATAAATAGATGAATATGGTGGTTTTGACATTTTTCCAATTTAGCATCTGAAGTTAGATAGTAAATGTGATGAACTTATACTTAGCAGAAATTCAAGTTTTGAAAGTAGGGAAAAACAAGAAAAAATTACCTATTAATCCCCTACCAGAGATTAACTACCATTAAGACTTCAGATTATTTCCTTCTTAGACATATTTTATACAGAGGGAATTTTTAGATATAGTTGTGATCACATTGTACATATAATTTGTGTCCTGATTTTTTTCACTTGAAATCATATACAGTGTTGATAATCATTATGTGTACTATTTTATATGTAAGAAATATTTCACAATAAAAATTTGAAAACCATAAAAGTCCCAGGTGATACGGTTTTCACAAATAGAATTTTCACATTTTTCCTGTGTGGTTTTCTTAAGCATTTATTCTTTTAGGATCATATTTCTTATTAAGCTTTTCCTCATTTTATTTTTATTTATTTTGCTATATGAAAGGGCTAGTAAACATTCTAGACATGAGTATTTCCTGTTTTTCCTTTTAAATACTTTCAAAACATAAATGTAACTATCAGTGAACTGCTTTTCAAAAGTTTGTGCCGTTATTTCCTCTACCAGTATATGAACATTCCGAAATCATTGCAAATTCACCAGCAACGAATATGTATTTTTTTTAACTTTTAAAAAATATTGATTAATTTTAGTGGGAAGATGGTTCCTTAGTTTGCTTCATTTTGTAGTCTTATTAGTGAGGTCAAACTTTTTCTCATATAGTTTTGAGAAGTCACTTTTGTTCTTTTTTGTTTAGAGTATGAGCTCGGGAGTGCGGGGCAGGGGTGGGGGTAAGGGGCGGGAGGTGGGGGAAGAAAGTCTTACATAGGCTCCAGGCCCGGAGTGGAGTGAGGCGGGGCTCCATCTCTTCCGGAGATCACCACCTGAATCGAAATCAAGAGTACAACATTTACCGGACTGAGCCACACAGGTGCCCCCATTTTTGTTCTTTTATGAATCATCCATTCATGTCTTTTTATTTATTTTCCTTAGTGTATGAATGCTTCATCCCACCGAGTGGGCTATTTCCTGCAGGTGTGAATACACACGGCCCTGCTCGCTGCTGCCCTAGGCAGGTGTATGGAGCAGGCGGATCACTGTGGGCAGCCGGAGCAGGCTGTTGTGTGGGCTGTTTTGTAACGCAGCCCCGAGCACGGGATGAGTTACTAAACAGCCCCCTCTTTCCGTTAGTTCGGCATTGCAAAAGCCAGGCCTGGCCAGTGAGGTGTGTGTGACAGGCTTCATTCTTCCCTTTGTCCCAGCTATTATTAGATAGGTTCAGAAACTACCAGTAAATTGGAGCTGTGGGCACATTTCAGTTTATGCTGCTAGCCGAGTTCTGAAGTGTTGCAACTACTCAATATGGTTTGCTCTTCACTTGAGCAAATTGCCAGCAGCTTGCGTGTGACTCCTTAAGAATAATGAGAATCAACCTCATTTTAGGAGAGGGGACAGATTGTGTCTGTATTTGGCAACCCGCATTCCTCTGCAGCTGGGCTTGCTTAAGACACTCCATGGAGGTAAGGGGCCATATTGACAGAGAAATGTCCATTTTGTCTGAGGAGCTGCTGAGTGTTGTCAGCATTTGCTGGCAATAATGCTTTCTCTACCATGGCTTCACTCTCCAGACCACTGGACGTGACAGAAGTAATGTAAAATCGCCGCAGTCTATTTCTGTCCCTTGTCATTTTATGAAGGAGCTAAGTGCTAAATGCCTTCAGACACAGAGCATGCTAAAGACTCCTTTTGAAACAAGAGAAACTAAAAAATACATCAAAGAATGCAGGTTGTATTTTTTTTAATTCTAATTTTTTTTTGCCTTGCATCAAACACTCAGAAACAGTTTGAATATTGCAAATGCTGCAGAAATGGTGATATAGCAAAGAAAACAAAAGCTCTTTTACCTTAACAGCAGAGGTTTTGTGTGGAACAGTTAAGAATAGGTGGAAATGATCTGAAGATAGAAGACTCTTTCCTGAATACCATGCTTATTTTTTTCCCTTAAAATTCTACAGTGCCTTCACGTTGCACGTATGATTATTTCAGATTTTCCTTGGCCATCTTTTCTGTCTGAATTTTAGACTCTATACTGTTGTTAAGCAATTTAAAAATCAACTTTTTTGTTTCTACCCCAGTATGTTTTTTCCCCAAGAAGAAAGCCAGTTTCTGTCTCTGTCAGTATGGGCTTTCCTTCTTCAGAAATCTGACCCCCTTAGTTATCTCTCACATTCTGTCTTGTCCACACTATGTCAGCTTATATATTCAAAATACGTTGCTTTATAAATTCTCTTGGTTATGTGTATGTATGATTATTTATTTAAGGGGAGAGCCAGTCCTGTTTTGTTTATACTTTTTAATGTGTTGTTAGTTTTTCATGTGATATGTGTCTAAATAAATGTAGTTTGTCTGACTGTTATTTATTCTAAAACATTCATGAGATTCAAATTGAGAGTACATTTCCAGGTGGTTAGGGACATTTGTATTTAGGATTACTGATTTTATAATTTAAATAAAGTCAATGTGGGCATGTATGAAATAAAGTGGATTCGGATTTTTTTATCTATCCCTTAATCTTCAAATATATGGTTTTTAAAAACTTTTCTCTTGTGTGTGTTTGGATGCCCATTAACCATTTTTTCATGTATTCTTTTTTTTTAATTCCAGTATACTTAACATACAGTGTTATGTTTGTCTCAGGTGATCCAACAATTCTATGTCATATAGTGATATGATATATATAGTGATCCAACAATTCTATGTCATGAACAGTTATCATCACATATAAAGGAAGGACTCCTTGTGATTTCTGAGTTGTTTTCATGAATTACTGCTGGTAAGGTTGAAATACACATGCTCTTTCTAATCTCAGCTGACTTGGTTGACATGGTCTGACATGCAGGGGTGATTACTAAACTTGCAGAAAGAAGAAAGGGCAAATATGAAACAGTTCAGGAACAAAGTGTAAGTTAAGGTAGCAGTCCTCTTCTTGGAGGAAGTGTTGGAACCAAGCTGCTATTTTTTAGTAGCTTTTCTATGAGAGAGACAATGCCTGCTTATGAATGCTTTTCTGTGTATGAATAGCTTTACTATTGAGCATTTACTATATGCCAGGTATTACATTCAGAGCTTCAGATATGTTTTCTCATGTAACCTTTTTTTCCCTCATTTAATCTTTTCAGTGACCACCAATGTAGATACCATTAATGTTCCCATTTCACAGATTAGGAGCCTGAGGCAAAAAGATTAAATGACTTCTGAGACTGCACATCTCATTACTGGCTAAATCAGATTATGTCTAAACATGATGATGACATGTTCTATGTAATTAACTACTACCTCCTGCTTCTTGCACTTTAATCATTCTCCATCATTTTACACATGATACTGTACATGGATTACTAGATGGCTTTGAAGCCCAAGTTAGGTTATGGCTGCAAGTCAAGTTATGGCCGCAAGATTATATGGAAGGACATGATAGAAAACCTATGTGTTGTCACGAATTACAATTATTTTTGATTACGGTGGAAGGATAGATGAGTTCTGACAGCAGAGATTCTCTGGGACTCACTTCCTTCATCTGTAAACTGGAATAAATAATGATTCACCTGCCCTCCAGGCAGGCCTGAACAAGATAGTATCTTTGACTGAATATCCAGAGAACAATACATTTCCAGTTGCGTTCTCTGTGGAACTGGGGATGCTGACATATATATGAATGGGCATGACTAGGGCATCTTAGTGGTAAATGAAGGCATCATGGAAAGAATCTTTTTTTTTTTTTTTGGCCTCTTGGTGCAATGTTGACATTCTGGGTGAACCCTGGACTCTATAGTTGTCAAGGAATCTTAGGCCAAGAACAAAGGGATCATATGTGTTTTCCCACATAGCAATGTACCTCCTTTGAGAAACATGAGTCTTGACTTTGACCAGTGGTATGTTATAGTTTGCTTATCATGCCTACCTAAAAAATATTAGAAAGGTACAGAAAAAAGTTTTATCTAAGATATACTCTTTCAAGAATCAAGGTTGATTGATGATTCTTTTCAGAAGCATGGAAGATTCTTAAGGTATAGTATGTTAATGGCTTTGTTAAATTAGCCCTTTTTTACACTAATAGTTCTGTGAATAATTTACCATTGAGTCAGATTCCATTTTATTCTGTTCATTATTATAGGGTAATGTGGACCTTATAGTTTCTGAAATATTGACAAGGCCATTCTGAATTATTATTTTGGAAACCATCAATACATGTGGCTCCTTTTGATTTAATACTCTTGACTTCAGTACTAATTCCAGGCATGTCAGGTGGGTGGTATTCTCTGAACATCTGTAAAGAGAAGTTAATAATATTAACATACTTGTGCCTTTTCTCTTCACCGTCAGTTCTTTTGCTAGAATGGTAATAATAGTGTTTTCAATAAAAACACCACCTGAGATTTGCCTTCCTTTCTCATAGGATAGCTCTTGACTGTAAAATTGAGATGGCTTCTCAACTCTGAAGCGCCTCTGATTTACCAAAAACGGTTAATCTAATGTTGCAAAGCAGACTAAATCCTTTTAACACATCCCCAGTTTATGGCCAATGCAGGAAAACATTTTGCAGCCTATTGTTCTTTTAAATGCTTGCAAAGAGACCACAGAATGAGAGCGAAGAGACCGTACCAATCCCTAGCATGCCTGAGGGATGACTTGTTCTTTCATATTTGTGGAGCCCTGTGTCAAGAGTGAAAATGTCTAAGAATAGAGTGCATTTACCCAGTCTCTGGGGTAAGGTGCAAAGAGCCTGTGCTATGGGAGCCCCGATTAAAAATTAAATGGTTGAAACCTGCAGAGCCACTGCTCTTAGCAGAACAGTGGGCGCTTTCTGGTTAACTTTGTGCCATCTTAGTTTCGATGAATTGGCGGTGGAAACTAATATCCTTTGATCTTTTAGTTGCTTTCCGTAACTCATAGTGACCCATTTGCTGGTGAGTTGTTTCTTCACAGGCCAGTGATTATTGGCCTTTGAAAAGCATTGACTTAATCAACCAATGGGTGATCTAGTCTGCTCTGCACTCCAGTCAAGTTCCAAGGGGTAGGAGGCAGATGCCATTGTCATTCACATATCTTTGCCCCTGAAATGTGGCACGGGGTATGAAATAGAGTCTAGGAGTGGTATACGCACAATTTAAAATTTACTGAGGGAGAGGTCCACGAGGAGGAGAAGGGGCAAGTCAGAGGGATTGGATATACTCCTTTTCTTCCAGTTGGTTCCTATGCTCTTAGACATTGCTCCAATTCTCCACTCCTTCCATGGGAATAATATCTTAAAACTTAAAGATAGAATGCCATAGCGACCTTAATTTCTAGATGTCCCATTTCTGGTCTAACCCCCACCATTGCTATCATATTCAAAGGTCTTTCAACTCTCCCCAAAGCCTATGTCTTTCCTTTACCAAGCATTTCAAAGGCTCTCTTCTTTTAGTACAACTTCAGCTATTTTGAAACATCATTAGAAAGAATCTAACTAAATGAGCTGGTGTGAGTCTCTAACCGATGTTTGACAAAAAAAAAAAAAAAAGCAAAACAAAACTGAAAAAGTGAGCTGTGGCATTGTCAGTGTTGATTGTTAGTTGGAGTGGTATTTTTAAAAAGAAGACGTTTCATTTATAGGTGAGAAAAGTACATTTTTTTGTTGTTTAAAATGTATGTTAATGTCGTATTCTCTATATATACATTTTTAGCTTTGATATCTATCTCATCTCTCTAATATTTGAAAATAGTGAAAGTTGCTAGGTTGAGAAGGCCCTGGGGATACAGGTCACTTCTGCACAATCTTTGCTTCTTTGAGCCAAGCCAGACCCAGACCATTGCCTGCTTGGTGACACTTCCTTCCCTGCTTCTA